TTGTACCTTTTTTTGAGCTGTCTGAGAAACAAAAGCTGTTGTGCCTGGCTTCCGTTTACACATTGGGACTTCTGCAAATGTTGTAAAGCAAAAGTATAGTGTTTGGGGTTTTTTTTTTAAACACATGCTGAAGACATCAGCTTAATATAAACATTTATGTTTGTTTTTGAAACCTTCTTTCTGAGTTAAGTTTTACATATGCATGGTGGCAGCCATGTTTGCCTATTGCATATCCAGGCATTGCAGTGCCATGTATTAGTTATGCTTCACAACTTCCCACAATGGCTGTCTGAGTGGGCCAGCTACTTGAAAGCAAGGACCTCCCTGCATGGCTGATGGCTTACCTACACAGTTGTGAAGCAGTTGGGCAGTCACTGTAGTAGTTAAAGCTGATGGCTCTCGGATTTTACACAACATGGTAGATTTTGCCAAAGGGGACTCCTCCAGCTCTGTAACAGCCACAATGTCCCTCATTACTCTGTTGTTGCCGCTGACATTTCCACCTGGTCTGTGTTAGCCATCTTGGTTGTTTAGTCCAGCATGAAGCAGCTGCTGGGTTTGTACACATATATCCTCTGCATCAGTGGATGTGTAGCCAAAACTCCTTTTTTTTTTCTTCTACATAAATTGTATTGAAGGATTAGGAAGGATCCCTGGCCAATGTATATTGCTGTTCACCAGAAAGATTTACCCTCCATATTTGTCCTGGTGACCTGGGTCACCAATGCAGAGCGTGATGCAAAGCCCTAGATTTCAGAGCTGTCACCAATGGAGATGGCTAAGCAGTTAAACATACATAAGGAGAACACTACAAAAAGAATTCACAAAATGTGCTTCCTGAAAATACACTTTGAAATGCAAAGAAGGGGGCACAGTCATGGAATTTTCTGGAGTATGCCGATCCACCCTGCTCTGTAACCTTCTGTTTTGGTGCTTGGGGAATACCTATAATATTTGCATTCCTCTCTCTAATTCTGCCAGGCAAGAGATTTCCCCTCGCTCGCAACATTCTGTAGTTTACATAGAAGCACTGCATGCAGGAAAGTGTATTATGAGATTGACGCTTTCATACTTTCAGCTTTTTGACTTTTACAAGCGATGTGCGTCTGTTTACAAATCAGCACTGTTGACCTGCAGTGCTGGGCAGAGAAAACGTCAAATGTTTTACTTTTTAGGTACTGTACACACATATGAGGGTAGTAGAGCTAACCTACACGAGTAATTGAACATTTTTTGTCTTCCTAGTTATTTAACATGATGCATTCTTCTAAACCTTCCAGGTGTGCCATTTACTATAGAATAGAGAAGCTAAATAGTGTTTGGTAGCCAAATCCCTTTTGTTGTGGCTGAGCAGGCTTACTTTGGTGTCTGAACTGGTCACATGGTCCTTTTTTATGTTCGAATGTGCTCTTGCACCTTTAGAAGCTTGATGTTGAATTCCTATGCATGGCTTTTTTTTGCAGACACACTTGCAAGCATCCGTAGCAGCTGGAGCAGCATCTGGCCCTCAGCAGAGCCTTAAACTAACATACCCAGAGACTTTGGATCGTATTAAGGAAGAATTTCAGTTCCTGCAAAGTCAGTATCACAGGTAAGATGTTTTCATTTTTCCTTTTCAATACATTTGTGACTGTTTATGAAAGAGCATTTTATAGTGATTTGGATCCTATTAAAACGTGTTCTGGAAGGCTTGGCAGAGAAAGGGTTAACCTCAGCTGGCCACACCATGTTTCCATTGTTTTTATTTTCTACTGCTGCGTTGCTAGCATTTGTAAAAGACACCCGCCCCCCCAACCATACATTTTCTGAAAGCACAGACCCGGTAGAATAGAAAGCAATAATTGCGCAAATGTCATCACATTTTTGAGGAAATATTCAATATTAGGGGTCTAAACGGACCCCTGACATTTCCCTTTTGATGTAAGGCTCACTGAGGTGGCCAGCTGGAAACAGTTGTGTTCCGCCGTAAGCCTTACGTCAGTGGCAGCGAAATAGTTACAAATTCTTAGCTTCTGCAAAGACAGTAGCACAATTGGGAGACTTTTTTTGGATAGACCAGGGAAGGGTTAGATGTCTGCCATGGTATTTTTGAAGTCTGAGACACTAGAACAGGAAATAAGGGCAATGGATTGCATTGGGACAGGAATCCACTGATCACAAAGTAAACGATCAATCATCTATCCATTCCCCACTTTATTATAAAAATTGGTCTTGTTGCAGTTGTAGAGATTTCCTCTTCCTGTCCTTGTGACACCCTATTACAGGAACAGTAATTGGGAGAAAATCTTTCAAATAAGAACACAGAACACAATAAAAATCTGCTGTAAATTATATTACTGAGGGCTCTGTGTTTTACCTTAATGCATTTTCTGCATTAAATTAAAAAAGACTCCGCACCTTTCTATGCCACCCTTTCCCCAAATACTTACCTCCATAAGCTTGTCACCTCTGCTGGGTCGTGGAAGTTATCGCTGTTCTCCAAACTACCTGGTTGTGGGGGGCAGGAGTACTGGGGGTAGAGGAGCCATAGGCTCCTTCTGCCATCAGTCAGACTGAGTGGTAAACGGAGCAGGGGGTGTGGCTTGTTGCAGGCTGTGTGTGTGTGTCTATGGATGCACACAGCCAAACGCGGTCACAGCTCGGGAATCAAGTTCAGAATGTTCATGTCTTGCCACTAACAACCCTTAAGGTGGCCATACACTGTGCGAATTTCGGCTGGTTCTTGATAAAGCAGCCTAAATTCGCACAGTGGGTGCCACCGTCGGCACCCTTTTGGCTGGCTTCCCTCGATCAGCTGGTTGAAAGAGCCAGTCGGAAAAGCTTCGAATGAACAGAGCCGGCAGCCGCTGTAAGAATACAAAAGGAACAGCAGGGATTCCTCGAATTGGACGAATCTGCCCTATTTTTTTTTTCCGTTCAGCCCGTGACTAGCTTTAGACTTGAGTGGGACATTGCTCCTGCAGTACAGGTATGTCCAACTCAAGTCTTTGGTATGGTTGGTGTGCAGGAGCAGGGAGCTCGGCACTAGATTTTTACAAGCTGGTCTCAAGGCTATGTGGAAAGCTTAGTGGCATGAAATATGCAGTGGTATGGGTTGGGGAACAGGGGAGGTGTTTCAGTTTACCACATTTAGGAGACTAGGGTGTTTTTTTATCCATTTAAGAACATGTCCTTTTAAAAACCTTCCATACTACTGTTCTGACACTTCAGGGCCTCCGAAAATGTGATTGGTAGTCAGGAATGTGGTTTACATAATTTATGCCCCTTGAAAACATAATTTATGCCCCTTTGAATCCCTTTATGCGGCTAGGCTGCAAAAAAGTGCCACGCAGTATTCCATACTCTGAGTAGCAAAATGTGTTTTGGGGTATAATTCTAAGTATGCCCATGCTGTGTGTGAGAAATAACTTGTTAAAATTACAACTTTGTAAAAAAACAACCCCCCCCCCCCCCCCCAACCTTAGGGTGTCTACTTTCCAAAAAGGGGGCATTTTGGGGGTGTTTGTACTAACCATGGCATTTTGGGGCCTCAAGTCATGCGAGAGGCTGTCGGGACATCTGTTCTGATTACATTTCAAATAAAAGTATACCAGAGTATGTAGACTCTATAGCTTCCACACAGACTAAAGTAATATACACTTTTCTTTTGTAAAAAATAAAAGTAGCGGAATACATTCGGCCTAAATGTATGACTTATATTGTATAATGGAAAGGAAGGGAAATGTTGTGTTTTTTTGTTTTTTTTCTTTTTATATAGTAAAAAATGATTGATAAATTCCGCAAAAAAGTTTGATCTGTCTAAAAAAAATATATAAAATTACTTTGGGCACAGTGTTGCATGACCAAGTAATTGTCAGTCAAATTATCTCAGCAATGATAAAATGGCCTGTACAGGAAGGGGGTTAAATATGTGGGTCCTCAAGTTGCTAAATACGCATTTATGTTAGCATTACAATTAAGTGGTACATATCAAAATAAGATGTTACTAATCAATACAGCACCTTGCCTGAAATGTTTTTACTTGAGCCAAACATATTTTGCTACATAGTCTTAATGACTGTATATGTTTTATGTGCAGTTTAAAATTGGAGTGTGAAAAACTTGCAACTGAAAAAACGGAGATTCAGCGACATTATGTCATGGTGAGTTGACCTAAAATGCAAATAAAGTGGAAGGACTGTAACCGCTATGTGTGATTCAGTTAATGCATGCATGGTTCCCACTATATCAAAACTGGGTGAAATGAGCAGAGGAAGTGTACCAGACCAACTTCTTTCCACTTGTCATTATTCTAGAGCAAGTTGGCAAATGAAGCATGTAATTGGCTGCTGTTTGCAACACTTCAACTTTGTTTTCGTATTTTGATAATCAAGATGCATTGACTGCACTGTTAATGGCATGTGAGAGTATTCATTTTGAATTGTGAGCCATATGGCAGTGTAGAGCTTTATTTAAGCAAGCACTTTTACGGGGTAATTGTGGGGGCCAGTGGATACCTTTTTGATGATAAATGCTTGAAGCTAATGTCCAGAAAAATCAGATTGATAGATTACATTGTAGCTAATGTGTTTTTTTTTTTTTTTTTTATTATTTCCATTTAACTCAGACTGCAAACACCTTGTGCAGATCCTTGCCCTCTCCATCTATGATGTGACATTTTAAAACACTTAAATTATTTTAAAGCTGAATTCAAGCCAAATGACTAAATACAGTACACAGATGAACATACACGAAAATGCATAATGTAGATTTGCTGAAGTTATGTAATGCAAATAGGCCATGTCCCTGCTGGTAGCGTGTAATTGGACAGTGAAATAGAAGCATTAGACTGATGAACTCATCTGTCTTGTCACTCTTTTCACTTCTCCTCCCCTTTTTTATGTTTTTTTTTTTTTTTTTTTCTTTTGGAGTTGGACTTTAAAACTGCTGATTTAGAACACCGTTTGATATACGTGTTAAAAGAAACCTTTTGTATAATGTAATTTTGAAGGGAATGTATGCAGGGCAATGTGCAGGAATGAGTCCTTCACTCCTGTTGGCTAACTAGAGCAACGGGAAAAAGAGAGGCTAGCAGTACACATGTACAGTATATTTATTTTGTGCAGCCCTATTGATGAGAGAAATCACTTGATTTCCCCCAACCGCAATAAACCGTGTGGGTGGAGTTACCTGCCCTGCCAGCTATTGTTTTCAGACAGCTGTCTGAATAATCAAACAGTGACTGCATCTGATAGAATGCAGTCAGATTTTCCAGCTAACTGATTCATAATTTGACATGGACTTTTGTCGAACCAGATGGTGCTGACAGGGCCACCCTCGAATTTCAGCCAATTCAGAAGTAATCGGCTGAAATTCGAGTGTCTGGCTAGCTTGAGTATAAGCAGCTGTTGAACCCATTAAAGTAAAGGTGCCCATACACCTTACGATTATCGGACAAAACTTTTCGTCCGAGGATCGAACCGTCGTACGATTTTCGTACGACGGCCCCATCCTGCCCCGATTATCGCAAGGTTCAATCAGCGGTAGTTTAAAAAAAAAACACCTGGACGACTTGCGGTAATTGACCGTAATTATTTTCGTATGCGCAGTGTTAATCGTACGACTTTTGACGGACGGAAACGCCACCAACCATGTGAACATCGTACGATCAACCGAAGTTTTCAAACATGCTTGACCGTCAAAAGTCGTACGATTGTACAGTACTATCGGTCGGGCACTCTATTCACACGTTATGATTGTCGTACGAAAAGTCGATCGCATACGATTATCGTACGATAATCGTAAGGTGTATGGGCACCTTAAGGCTGTTTGCCTTGCAAGGCACAGATTCACTTTAAGGTTATATATTTGTTCGTGCATGGGATTTGTGCTTGTGTACCTTTTTGATTGGGAGATTACCTATTCTCCAGGACAAAATCTGATTTTTGATATGCGTGTATTGGGAAAAGCAGTACAAAAGTATTAATCCGTTTATTTTATCTTTACGGTTTTTGCAGTATTATGAGATGTCCTATGGTCTGAATATTGAGATGCACAAACAGGTAACCTTCCCATTCTCTCACATTTAACAACTAGTCTTCTTTCAGGTTTTTCCTCCTCCTCTCACTGTGCCAGCAGCTTACTCCTCCCTCAGGTTGTGTGTGTAAAAATAGCAGTAAACTGCATAGTAATGAGTGGGCCTGTCCTCCCTATGTTAGGAGGTGAAATCGATCACAGCCCTTCTAGGTGAATTTCTCTCTGCCACAGTCACCTATTGCTGCCATTTGGAGAGTGTGAGTGCTCTTAGGAGAGCATGAAAGTGCCAACGTTTTCAGCATTTGATGTTACATCTTGTAATAAAACCCTAGTATCTTTTCTCCTGTTTGTCATGTTACAGAGCAACCCTGCATTTCTGACATGGGATGCTTAATCCTAAGATATGATTCATTTGCCTTAGGGAAATTGTATCGTGGGATAAGGCAGATGGTTTATATTTGCTTTACTTTAGTAAAGCTGACAATACAGGTGTAATTCTGGCTGGCTGAGAAATCTTATTGTTGAGATTCAGCCATACAAGCATATCATTAAGTCTAACGGATTCAGCTCTTATGTATCTTGAGTCATGTGTGCCGTAGATGGAAATGGCTTTCATAGGACTGCATTTCCTAATTTAGCCATTTAGTAACTGATCCGATTCACACAATCCTGTGTATATACATTTAATCAGGAATGTGTTACTGTCACTGATAGGGTATTTATAGAAGGTTTTTTTTTTATAGCCAACCGCTTTGCGTCCACCAGAAGTGAGGTCTTGATTGGATCCAAACATAAAGAGGGATTGCTCATTGATGGCTGTATTGATTGATTCCACACATTAATACAACAGCTTGGGGTGCATCTTTAGTTCTGTTTTGCGATTTTTATAGATACTGGGTATAGTAATGAAAGTGGTACCAAATTCTCTGTGCTTTTTAACCAAATTCACTGGTAGCGGTGTAGCATGTCCCAATGTATGGAACTGCAGCAGTCTCAGCTCCTGGACACTGAGTGCAGCTTCTCCGAACTTCTCAGTAGGAGAGGGTGCACACTGAAGACACAGGCGTATGCGCACATGAGGTCACAGAAGGGGGGGGGGGAGGAATGGGACAATGTAAGGCAATGTACCCAGACTGGGAGCCTGCATGCAGGGGTGTCTCCGTGGGGTGCGACTTTAAACAGGTGAAAGGAAGATGTACCCATCAAGAGGCAACGCATAAGGTAAGTTTTTACACCAGTATTATGGTGGGGGTGGAGAATGTAGGCTTAGTTCCCTGTGAAGTGGGAGAGGAAAAGTGCTAGTTCTAAGAACAAGACCTAACCATTTCCTCACTGAATACTAAGTGTATATATGTATCATAATGCTCTTGGCACTTTCATGTACCTTAATGATCTTGGTCTGCACTCTTTTTGCAGGGCTAAAATGCTCTTTTACTTTGATGTGAAGATATATTATAATATATCACCGTGTGGTCTAAACTACAACACCTGACATTTTTGCCTAGTGGTTTTCCATGTTTAAGTCCAACCTAAGCATCCTTTTCTGGCTATTGTCCTTCTAGACCGAAATTGCCAAACGTTTGAATGTCATCTGTGCCCAGTTGGTGCCTTTTTTGTCTCAAGAGGTAAGTCTTATAGAGCAGCTATTTGTTATCTTGCTATTTTTCCCGTTTTTTGTCTCTGTATCTCTAAGTTGTATGTTTTACCTCCTTCAATCACACATCTGCAATCCCATTTAATAAAATTCAAAACAGCACCAGCAGCAAGTGGTTCAGGCTGTGGAGAGAGCAAAGCAAGTCACAATGGCAGAACTGAATGCAGCCATTGGGGTAAGTTTCATGGTGCTGTAGTGCTTTCCGTTTGCATACATAAACAAAGCAGTTAAGGTTGATTACAAAAATATAGCATCTTTTTTATTAGATGTTGTAACGGTTATATTACTGTAGCAGAAAAAAACAAGCCCCATCTTTTCTAATAGCTTGATGGCTTGTTTTAATTTAAATTGGGATTGGGGGTGCCTGAGTGTTGTGTCCACACATCCCATTTCAAGCATTTTTGACTGTCACTCTTAAGGCAGAAATTATGATCTATTTGACAACATGTAAATCATTTGCACACCAGGTTGTGTAGCTGGTTTGATATTTAGCATTCATTCTTCATGAATAGAGCACTTTTTGTAACCATTAATTTCTTGTCCAGTAAAATTGTGTTTTTCCTCCCTTTCATCCTTTTTTGTTTTCTCCACCCTCTTTTTATATTGCTCATAAACTTTTATTACTCTTCTATCACTCCTCTGAACCTGAAACCAGCATCAGCTACAGGCTCAACACCTTTCTCATCATGCTCCTCCCATTCCTCTTACACCTCACCCATCTAGTTTGCAACAACACGGCCTAGCTGCTGCCACTAGTGCCTCCAGTCTGCTGGCCCTCTCTGGTGTCCTTGGTCTGCAGACTCAACTGGCAATAAAAGAGGGTCTCGCTGACTCTGAGCACAGAGGTATGTGTAGGACTTACCATAGACCATTGTTAACCAGTTGTTTAATTTGTTTCTTTGTTTTTTTAATGTTGGAAAATAAGACTAAAAAGACCGTTAAAGAGAACCATTCACGATTGGGCTAGAATTAAAATATGTCTTGTATTATAATTGAGCACACATGCTGCTTATAAAAATGTATACTTCACCTTGACGCATTGAGATCACTTGCAGTCTGGTGTGTGTATGTACTGGCTGGTAGGACTGTAGATGTCACCTAGCTTTCATTCATACACATGGTGAGGGGCTCCAGGGTTGATGACTGATTTGGAGAAAACAAATTTGCGGTTTCCTCAGAATCTTGTCTGGGTCCTGGAGCCCAGATGCTTTGTAGAACTTTTGGGTGGGATTTAGCCTCGATTCCTAGGTCCATGTCTTACCTAGCAGCCAGACCTCATTATTAGTCAGCTTTTTGTATGTAAGCTGCGGTTTCCTTCATCATTAGGAGAGTCATGCTGCATGGAGGCAGCAGTGTGTGTGTCTGTGTTCTGGCCTAAGGTAAAAAAAAAAATAACACTCTGCTGTCTGTGATTTTAAAGTGATGTTAATTGGCAGTATACATATGAATGAATATATCTGTATAAATGAAATGTATACGTACATATTCTATATGTAATCTATCTTGGTGAATGTGCCGCTATTTTACAAAAGTGACAATACAATGCTTGAAATGTAGAAAGAAAAACAGCTTTTGCCTATTCCATATAGAAAAAAAGAATAAGGCATAAGTGTTAATAAACTAGTATTGCAAATTAGAATGTGACAAAACTATAACGCGTTACTCATAAAAAGTCCCAAAACAATGTAGGCTTCCTTTTATGCAATATGATTCCTACAACTTAGTGTATTCCCAGGTGAGGCAATCATCCACCACCAGATGGTTAGCCAAACTCACTAGATGTAGATGACCTTTTGACAATAGAAAGTCAATAAGGTTTGAATAGTGTAACATCCAAAGTGGTCAAACGTGACCAATATTGTTCATCAGGGATACATCTACAAAACTAGTTGGGAAATTGATTGGGCGCAGACCATAGACAAGCAGATACAAAGGCATAATATCTATTTGATACTAAATAAAAACCAGAAAATGCACTGGCATATTCTAAGCGCATAAAGCGTTATGATATGCTGCGTGCAGTAATATTAGATTCTGCCGTCCACAGAGCCTTGGTTGGTGCAAACACTTGGCCAGCTATAGGACCCACAGCATGCAGGACCAGTGAAAGTGATGTACTCGCACAAACTGTCTTTCATATTCATCAGGGAGACAATTGGAAAAGCCCCTAAGTGTTTGGCGAGTGTACTGTGAGTTAGCAAAATGAGAGCACAACAGTATTTATCTCCTATCGAAGTGGTGCTGTTTAAGTGAAACCTTGGACTTCAATGTCTAAAAGGTGATGACTCACTGGTCCGCTTTACTCCTTCAGTTAGGGCAATTGTTACAATTTTTTAGATCAGATTTTTAATGCTGACAGATTAAGGGAGTAGAAGTACAAAACCACTATACATTTGTTTGAATTAAGTGTCTTTGTCTTATTCCATAAAGGGTACAAATTGGGATTGTCTTTTGTATGAGGCACACCAGTATAGGGGTCTCTCTGACCCCATGACCCACACGCTTGTGACTTGACAGTGGTTTCTGTGTTCTATGGCAGCAAGGCAAACAAAGCTAGAACTATAGGTGGCTAGTGGAGGGCCCAATCTGTGTTATTTAGTTTTCCCAACAGAAAAAGACCATTACATTAGGACCTTAAATGCAGATGAATTTTGGTGCACAAATATTGTGATTGTATACAAGAGCTATGTTTTCTAACTTAACCTTTCCTGGGCAGAGGTTGATGCCTAGATGCTCCATTCAGCAGCATCAGCATACTTATGCTGGCAGTGTTCATCTGCAGAGTGAAGACTGTAATTTTTTTCAGTGGAACTTCAGCCTGTATGTGATCACTATGTCGGAGCTTACATGGTCACGTGATTGGGGACCACTTTTGTCAGTTCAGGAGGGATCCTGCTGGTTTTCAAAGGAGAGAAGGAATATTTAATGTATTCTCAACAGGGCATCTGTGCCGGTGAACCTTAATATGCATATTGCATATCGAAAGGGGTTAATTAAATGGCTTATTTTAATTTATTTAGGCAAAGGTATATTCTTTGTAAGCAAGACAATCCAGTTGCTGGTGCAGAGTTACATTTGGAATTAAGCAATCTGGCTTTGTTTGTGCATGTCTGCCCTAAAGGTACACACATTTCTGCATCATGTCCACCCCACCGTAATTAAATGTGTGAATTATTTTTTTGTGCCTATTAAAATTAAATACTTGCCCATTATTCACCACCTGTTTACTCCCCTGCTATGCTCTGCACCTATTGCTGCAAGGTTAAATACCCAATACTTCAGGGGAAGCATGTGACTCCTTTTCCTCCTGCAATGTAACATTGGGTTCCTGAGCAGCCTATTGCTAGGCTTAAGGACTGTCACGGGGGAGTAGGTTTAGTAGACCTGTGTATGGTCTGAACAGACTGTCTTGAAGCTTATACGGGCCTTTTTTTTTGTTTGTTTGTTTGCTGATGTCTAAGATGTAGGTTTTATTTCTCATTCATTGAGGGCCATAGGATTCGGAGACATTTGGATCATTCTTCTGCCTACAGGATGATTTTGACACTGGCAAGTGGAAAAAAGTGACCAGCCTTCTATAACCTCTCCCACTCCCTGCATGCCTCCTAGGAGGATGGACAATCTTTCTGCTTTTCTCTACTGAGAAAAGTTTACCGTCCTTTTACTAGCCATTTTTTCCTTCAATATTTTTGGCTTCAGTCAAAGACTTTTGACAAGCTGTTTGAGATTGTGTGTCTGGATAGACCCGATTGGCGTATCCTTGCCAACAGCTTTGGAGGCCATACCCAGACCCTGCAGGACTGGACCATTGCGGCAACTGCCTAAAAATGTGACCTTTAGGCACTGGGCAGTGCATTGTGGTGCTTTCCAGACCTTTTGTGTACTTGGCACAAAAGGCTTTCCGGGTTCAGAGCTGTGGCACAGCCTCAGGTGTGACCCAATCTCTGAAGGCTTACTGTTGCACAACTGGGCCAGTATTGTTGGGCGTTATTGAATGTCTTCAGTCTTATTTCAGTCTTATTTCTTTAATGACTCTTATCAGTCAGCAAGTCTAAAAAATCCTTGCTGGTTTATATTGTCCCTCGGAGTTGCAGGCATCTACCATAACTTCCAGGTTTAGAGACTCCACTTTTAGGTTTCAAAGTTTTTATTGGTTTCTGTAATTATAAACAAAATCAGCAGCATAATAAAGCAATCGGTGGTCTTTCAACAGCAGCAGGACATAAAGTACATTACACCATCCCCTTCCCTATCTTTTCTATAGAGTAGTTACATTTCAGGAGCCCTTAACGCTTTATTACTATGCCATAGGCCAGGGGTGCCCATTAGGTAGATCGTGATCTACCAGTAGCTCTCAAAGCTGATGCTGGTAGATCACAAAGGGTGTGAATGGCGGCCCCTTTATTCCATTTTGGTGTATTTATTTAGCTGTGCACACATGATTACCTATTAGCCTGAGTCTGCTGAGCCAAGCTCCCTGACACCTTTCTGGTGGATACTGGTGGTTGAAGTGCTATATATTACATCAAAGAATATTAGTTTACACAGCCTGTTGCAAGAGCGGGGAGAGACAGCCAAGAGAGCGAAGAGAGAGAGAGAGAGAGAGGAGAGACAGCCAGGGAGGAGAGACAGCCAGGAGGATGAGAGAGGAGAGACAGCCAGGAGGATGAGAGAGGAGAGACAGCCAGGAGGATGAGCAAGGAGAGACAGCCAGGAGAGCGAGGTAGGTATTTTTTTTCGCTGGTAGAGCTCATGTAGCTCGTCATTTGAAAAGTAGATGTTAACACAAAAATTGTGGGCACCCCTGCCATAGGCACTCCTAATTTATATTTGGGGAATAAATATATTAAGGTTTTTTTCTTCTGCCATTGAAAGTACCGCTGTTTATCAATTAATCTATACATGGTAATTCCCTCTGGTGGGGTAGTTCACACATCCCACCAGGGGAAAAATTAAATGGAAACACTAATTGGAAAGAGGGGAGAAAAAAGGAAAAGAAAGAAACAAAAGGATGCAAAGTTGCAGACTCATGGATTCCTAGTATCTAAGGCAATATTACTAACCTAAGGGGGCTGGCGGATTACCTGGAAGATTTGAAATCCCTTGATACATCATCCATGGTTTCCAGACTGCTTCAAAGTTGGTATATGTATCTTGCAAGACACTGTAGAGCCTCTTTCATCTTTTCACCTCAACTAGGACATTGTTTTTTTTTTTATCCCTCTATCAGGCTCCAGTACACCAGATTTCCCTTCATTGCCTATATGTAGGTCATACTATGAGTGGCCTTGCAGCCACTGCTTCTGTGGATTGATTCTTTTTGTTACCCAGATGGTATCCTTAAAGAGAACCAGCTTTTCGCTCCTACATTTTTCAGGTGGCTCTAATTATTGTTCAAGCCTGCGGTCTTAAGGATCGGGTTCCACCCCTTCCTGTCATGGCGGACTCTACTAGGACTGTGAGTGCTTCTTGGGCATTTTGGCATCGGGCATCTGTTTCCCAGATTTTCAAAGCTGCCATCTGGTCTTCTATTCACACATTCTCCATAGTGGATGCTCAGACCTCAGCTGATGTCAGATTTGGGCAGTCGGTCCTTCAGGCAGCTCTTTAAACTGTAGCAAGTCCACAGTTTTTTATCGGTGGGCTTGTTAGCATCTTGTTTGCTATTTACTGCTTTTAGGCATCCTAAATGACTTTTATCCTATGCCCCTTAATGAATGAGAAAGAAAATTAGGATTTTTGTACTCCACGTAAAATCCTTTTTATTAGTCTCATGGATGGCGTCATACGTAGCCAAAATAAAGTTGTACGTCTAGTGTGAGGATAAATACAAAAGAGTTGAACAATCTGCACCTCCAGGCAAGGGCATTCAAATCTACAAATAAAAAACTGCAAGAGGGACCATGTGACCTGTTCGAAGCATGGACGTATAATTATGCAAAAACACTGCTGTGCTAAATTTAGTTTGCCAGCGAGACGCGTATGTTAGAAATTTACTGCTCGTTTGCACCTTTTGAGTATGAGTAGTTAAATGTTGGTAAATAACCCCTATTTGTGTTGGCTTATATTTTGGGAGGCAGCATGAAGTGATCTATGACTGGGGAAAAGCAAATTGAAGTGATGTGGGTAGAGTGTTTGAGATGTCTGCTGAAAAATTGTGATGGCTTAGATTTGTGAGAACTCGCATGATTCTGCAGTGGGGAAAATGGGATGATAAATTAATAATCTTGACTAAAATTAACCCAATATTTTCCTTTGCATTGCTCACTTGTTTCCATGGAGACAGACAGAGACCCAGGACCAGTGAGTATAACATTTTATATTGGTGTATTTTGATGGGTGGAACTGAAGATTGGCTTAGGTCTTAATTTTGCCCTGGTTCTATTAACACGTGCTATATGGCTGAGATGAAGATATCATTTTTAAAAGGTGCTATTTTAGTATACTTAGTTTCTCAGCATGCCAAATGCTTTCTGCTTGTGAATAATAGAATATTTGGAATAGCAGCTCTTTAACTGTTTGATCTTTAAAGCTGTCTGTTGGCACTTATTTAGGCTATCACTGTATTACTGCCTGGCAGTCTGTATGATTTGGGTCCTGTGACTGGGTTCCCCCCCCCTACTTGCCATAGTGTGTTTGGGTGTAGCATTGTTTATGAACTGACCTTTGTGTTTTTCTACCCTTTAGAAACTATAGGTGTGCCAGTGTGTTTAAATATTTTTCTTTCTACTTCAGAGCTGTGTTACTCTGCCAAATGGGGAACGTGTACGAACATTGTCAGATTATCTAAATAGCAACAAGAAGCGTAAAACTGAAGAGAAAGACTTTGGAACAGACTATGTAAGTGGCTGAACTGTTTTGTAATGGTTGAGTTTTTTTGTTTTTTTTCTTTTCAATCTGTCTGTAGAGTAGTCATATATAGGTATTAGCCAGTTAACCTACCAGTATGTATTTACCATTTTAATGGGAAGGCAGTACCATGGCAGAAATCCATGTAAACAAGAATAAACAAAATCGGTACAGGGAGAACCCTGGTTAGAATCTCTGGCAGTGCTCAGTTCTTCTAATACTATTTTCTAATTTTCAGGGCAGTGATGCTGACCGAAGTGAGGATAATCTTGTAGTGGATGAAGTAAGTAACTCTGGAGTTCTCATCCTTCCGGTGAAGTGTTTTTGGTAGTTTTGGAGGATGAAAAAGGCAAATGACTGTGAGGTACAGTGAGTGTAATATGTTTCTCCAGGATCCTGCTTCACCACATAGTGTCCATTCCTACTCCTCGCGAGAGAATGGTGTGGATAAAACAAACCTCCCAAGGAAGGATCCTCCTCCCGCTAGCCCAAACTCCATGACCTCATCTAGCAGTGTGTCTCCTTCCAGGAGCAAGGACCTTCCAACGGTAATAGCACATTAACCCAAACCTAAGGCCAGGTAGAAAGTGTTTGAATAGCATAGATATGTTTTGTTTCAATATCCTGCATAATTGATTAGGCAGGAAAAACTATTTCCATACCCTTAAGAAAGCCTTCATGTTTATTTTTAGATTCAGTATAATTTTATTACTAATCTTTCCTTTTTCAGCAGGTAGAAAAGGCAGGAACCCCAGGTTTAAAATCCAGTACTCCAAACTCCCATAGTGACATGAGCACCCCAGGTCCCAGTGGTGCTAGCGCATCTCAGTTCCGGCCTCTTGGCAAATCTGCTATTGACCCTCTTGGTATGTTATGTTTTTCAGGGGTGGAGGGGAGCATTAAGTCTTTGTAGTCTGTGCTTAAATGTGCATTCTGTAAGCAATTACATTGACAATTTCTGTTTCCACAGCTCTGGGACTCCGTGCACCACTGGGAGCACAGGGAGGCTATCCTGCAGCGTTTAGTATTGCTCACCCTTCTGCCAATGCTGAGGGAGCTGGAGCCTATGCAGGCCTTCACCTCATGTCACCACAGATTAATGGAGCAGCAGCTGCTGGAACCTATGGAAGAGCCTCTTTAGTGAGTACTAATTTTTAGCCAGTCTTGCAGCTTTATTTAAAGGGAAATCTGAAACAAAAGAAAACTCAACAGGTAGCAGCACTTTAATTTTTGCAGTTTTTGCCCCCTTTCCCAGCAGCATTTAATCACCTTTCCTTGCTTTCCCGCCACTCTGTTCAGCTGCCAGGAGTGAAGAAACTATCCAGTACTGCTGGATGTGAAGGAGCATGTGACTCTCTTCCCTTTCTCAGCGCTGGAGCTTTGTGATTAGGCTAACATTAGCCTAACACTTTGGATGGGGAGAGAGTCCTCAACCCTGTGTAAGCCCTGACTAGGGCAATCGGGGCTTCTTTTCCTCACCCCTGGTAACTGAATGGAGTGGTGGGGGAGTGAAAGAATAGATGAATGAACTGGAGAGTATGTGCTGCTGGGCAAGTGGGTATTAACGCAAACCTGTTGTTCTGCCCCACATTGGCAAAGCACAGGTTTGCTTTTTCACTAATCATAGGCCAGCTTTAATAAAACACAAAAGGAGTGTCATTAGCAGGTTATTGCTGTCCCTCGATGCATATTTAAGCTGATGCTAAGAAATTGATACTTCCTGTGGAAATAATTAGGAGAAACAAGATCATTTTATCACTTGTCTATTACAATTTACCTTCAGGTTGGCTATGATCCACATGCACACATGCGAAGTTTAGGAGCTGCATCTGGAAAACCGTGAGTTCTGTCATTTTTGTTCTCCAGTGTATTTGTGTGATAATTGGTCTCTATAGGATCTTGGTGGTAAAATGCATGCAGTGATTCTTATTCCATGACCCTGTACTGCAAACCACTACCCGGTAGTAGCTCTGGCTTAATGAGTCCCCACTTTAACATTTAATTGTGAATTCTGTAAGGTTATTGGCTAGAGGGCCAATCATTCTCAAAAGGTTAAGCCAGGTCAGGCAAGTCTTTTATGGTCTTTCATTTAGAACTCCTGATAAGACTGTATAAACTCCTGATTTATCCTATATAAACTCTGTAGCCTCTTTAGGTCTGCTGGTTAATGCAAATGGCTACATGGCAAATCAGAATCTGTACATAGGCATGGTCAAGTTGTTCGTGTTAAAATGGAAAGATAAATGATCAAGTCAAACGTGTTTAATAAAACCTCTCTGAATTTGCTGACCCTCCTGGGATTTTCACACACTTCAGTATCACTTACAGAAAATTGTGCAAAAAAAAAATCCCTTTTAATGGTTGTTTTGTAGACAAAAACATCTTAATGAGTTAGGGTAGAAGAGAATAATCAGATTGGTCAAGCTGATAAGTGGGGCACAGCTGCAGAAATAATGTCTCTCTGCTGCAGTGGTGTGCAGAAGGGCGTATTAGTACTCGCAGCATTCCAAACCTTGAAGCAGATTGGCATCCGCACTGAAAGGTCATTCCAGGTTCCAGTCTAGTTGTGCAAGGGTGGGCATGTGTGTGTGCCAAAGATTGGGAAAACTGTGCCTCATCTGATGAATCTTGATTTGTTGATGTCACGTGTAGATGCGAGGGTCAGAATTTAATGTTCACAGCACAAGTCCTTTGGGATAAGGTGCAAAGCCAAATGTGTAGCATGATTTAAATTTTTTCCCTCGACATGTACCAGAATCCTTAAAGTACCCCTGCCATGATGAACCAGTATGATGAATGCCATTGTTGGCTTCTTTCTGGGAATAGTAGTTGCCTGGCTGTGTCTGTCTTCAATAATGTTGCGTCACTAACGGTGAACAAGCAGGTTATATAGAAGTTTTAGAAAGGTGTCTGAATTTGTTTGTTTTTCTGTTTTTTCTCCTTTTTTTTTTTTTTTTTTTTTTTTAAGTTGG